TGTTTAGCACATCTTACATCCCAACAAAAGCCTATTCTTAAGTGTCAATATGTTCCTATTGCTACTCTTTTCCTTGATTTTGGACATTGCTTTCCTTCTTTATCTCATTTTGTTATTTTATAGCACTTGACTTCCGAGATAACTAAAGAAAATAATCAGAAAAAAATGAAAAGCCCCCTAAAATTAACTATTTAGGATAAAAATCTCAGACAAAAGCATTAGTAATGTGAATGAGAGAATCTAAACAGTCATGATGTTATGTATATATTAAAAGAATCTCTCTAAAAAGGAAGATAAACAGACAATAAGTATGCAGCCCTTAACTGATTTTTTCCTGTGAACTCATGGCCCTCACTAATGTGTCCTCATCTAGGTGTTACATTAGAGAAGATCAAGACTGATGCATAAAAACTTATACAGTCTATGTATTTATGAATAAGGAAAGGAGAAAAATACAAGAACAGAGTGACAACAATGAGTGACAAAAAAAAAAGTTAGGAAATCTATCAAAGCAACTCAGTCACTACAAAGTACATTTATGATGAGGTTAAAGGATATGATTCCATTCATTCAGTTTAAACAAATATAAAGAATAAATCCCAAAAGAGAAATGTAAGAATAATTTAATTAACTCTACAATAAAAATGTAACCTTCCCCTCCCTCCATTCCCTTTCTGCCCCAGTGACAGGAGTATGAAGAGAGATCTCAGAATTAGGTTTAGCCCTGCCACTGCAGTTCTCCAAGCAATAAAAGATACCTGATAAAAAAAAAATTTAAATGTGTATTTCTTTCATCTTTCTATTTTAAATGTGTATGAGTGAATCTTTTTTACATTTGTTGCTATAGATTATTGAGTTCATTGGGATTTCCTATGGAGAAGCCACTGGTTTATGAGAAAGAGAACTGATTTAGCATTAAAAGATATAACTTACTAGCTATGTGAGTTTAGGCAAATCACACAATTTCATGGAGCCTGTTCCTCAGTTACAAAATGGGTATTGTGTTTGCCCTGATTATCTAACAGTTGGTGAGGATTAAATGAGACAATGGAAGTGAAAGCCTTGTTAAACTGTAAAGAGCTATGACAGTGTATTAGGGCAGCTAATGGATAAATGCCAGGCCTGGAGTCAAAAAGACCTGAGTTCAAATGTAGCCTCAGACACCTTCAGCAAGTCACTTAGCCCTGTTTGCCTCAGTTTCCTCATTTGTAAAACGAGCTAGAGAAGGAACTGGCAAACCACTCCAGTATCTTTGCCAAGAAAACCTCAAATGGGGTCACGACAGTTGGACACACATGAACAATAACAATTTATTATTATTGTCATTTTCTATAACTACACTAACAGGCTAGCAATAAATGCTAGTAAAGATGGTAAATGATAAGCAATATAGGTTAATGGTAAAAAATATCACTAGGATATACTGAATACATACTTTGAGGGTCTCAAACAAGCCCTATCACTGGATCTCTAGTCAAAGGACCCAGGTTCTAATACTAGTTTTTCCTTGAGCAATGTCACTTCATATCTCTGAACCTCAGTTTTCCTTATAAATGTGCAAATTGGACCAGATTATCTTTCCTTTCCAGTTCTAAATCATGTGATTATACATCACAAAGTACAGGATTCTTATAATATCACATACTTTAACATTTACAAAGCACTTTCCTTAAAAACCTCTAAGACACAGTGTGCAAGTATTATTATGCTCCTTTTACAAATGAAGGAACTGAGGCTCAGAGAGGTTGCATGATTTATCCAATAACTTATTACTAGTAACTGTATGATCTGGAATTCAATGCAGGTCTTCTGACTCTTGAGAAAAATTCTTATACCACTACACCATATTCACTGTTCTCTTCACAAGTCAAGGGTCATTACAAGGTATTCTCCCAAACCTTGATTTTCTAGAATCATAGCCATGAGGATATCACTCACTAACCTCTCCCATCTGCTAAAAAATGCCTATCCCTAAAATGCTTTCCTAAACAGTGTGTATAAGAGCCTACTCAGACAGTCCTTCTTGCATTTAGTTCATTGTGTGCTATATCACATCTATATACCTGGGTTGATATCTATATACCCACAAGGGCTTGTGGAGATTTCACTTCATTAAATTGTGATGCAGTTTTAGATAAAAGCTCTAAATTTAAAAAAACAACATTGGGATCAAGTGCCTACCTAAGTTCTCTTAAAGGTGGGATCAGAAGAGCCCTAGCCAAGGGCAGAGCTTGCCTTCATTCTTTTTTACCTTTCTCTGCAGCATTCTGATGCCATTCTCAATCTCCTTGACCTTTCTGCAGCACTTTGACATTTCTGATTGCTCCCTCCTCTGGATACACTCTCTTCTCTTGGCTTCCATAACAATTCACTCATAGTTTTTCCTCTTACCTCTCTGAACACTCCTTCCTTCTCCTTTGTTGGATCTTCATCTTTCTTCTGCCCTTTAACTCCTGAGTGTCTCCTGAAGGTTCTATTCTTGGCCTTTTCTTCTCTCTTTCTACAACATCTCTCTTGGCAATTTCTTCTCCACTACCACAGTATCAGTTATCACTCCTATGCAGATGATTCAAACCAATACCTCCACCCTTAAACCCTCCCTAGAGCTTTAATCCCATCTTATAACTGCCTAGTGGTTATACTGCCTGTGCCTAAAACGCCTGTCCAAAACTGAATTTATCTTGCACCCCCCAAAAAAAACTGCCCCTAACATTTCTATTTCTCCTGATGACACCATCATCCCCACTGTCACCCAGGCTTCTAATAGGATTCACATTGGCTAACCTTCCTTTCAGTTGTAAGGTCTTACAAACTTCACCTTCAATTCAATTCAGCAAGCACTATCAAAAGTCAAAATGAAGGGCCAGGTACTGTGCTAGACCCTACAGACGCAAAGACAAAGATGAAACAGCTCCTGCCCTCAAAGAGCTCATTTTCTACTGGGTGATATAATGGATATATAGATAAGCAAATATAAAATATATACAAAATAAATACACAAAGAAACTTCAGAATAGAGAGGATAAGTTCAGAAAAAACCTACTAAAAGGGGTGGTACTTGATCTAATCCTTGAAGGAGGTTAGGGATTCTAAAAGGCAGAACTGAGGAACATGTACTTTCCAGGCACAAGAGGTGGCCTCTGCAACATCCTTTGAATCCACTCCCTATTTTTTTCATTGTTCACCACAACATCTCAATTTTAGGCCTTCAACTCTTCTTAACTAAGCTGTTGTACAACCCTTCTAACTAGTCTTCCTGACTCTAAGATATCCACTCTTCAATCTGCCCTTCAAAATTACTGCAATTATTTTTATCAATACAGTGATATAATCACATCATTCTTCTCTTCAAAAACCTGAGTACCTTCCCAAAGCCTAGTAAAACAGTATAAACTGCTGATTTTGGCATTTATAGATATTCACAATCTGGTTGCAACCTACATTTCCAAACTTATTCATATTACTTCTATCTGCTTTGTTTCAGTCAAAACAGACTATTTCTCACTCCATTTTTACACTGTCCTTTTCTACCTCCATGCCCACAATTGTATGTGGCCCAAATCCAAACTTGGGATGGACTTCTACACACACATTATTATCTCTACCTGCTGAAATCAAGGCCCAATTGAGGTTGAAGCAACTCCAATCTGTGACTCACACCATCTTCCACCCAAATCCCCTCAAAAGGTGATCTCTCAAAATTCAGAAGAGGACACAGACAAGCAGGGCAGTGTTATCATTAAATATAATGTATACTTTTAAAAAAACTCAAATTATACATAACAAAGATTCAAGGTCTTATATAAAATCCTCTTTTTCTGTCCTTTGCATATGTAAATGTTCGTGTCTGGTTTATGTTTGTTAAGATCATAATAATTTTTTAAAAAGAAAAACTTTTTTTAAGTCATCTCTGCCTCCTCAAATTTCTCATAGCATTTTGCCAGGGCTCTCCTTTGCCCCCTCCTTCATTTATTGCTGTATGTGTACTTCCACACCTAATTAGATTCAACTCACCAAACACATATCAAGAACCTATGTGATAAAAAATAAAATGGAAAAAAAAGAACCTAAGTGCTTAATAAATTTTAAAACTGAATTCTCACTACCACGCCAGAAGTGACCTGTTTCTCCTCAAATTTTTGTAGCAATTTCCTCTTTCCATACTTATTTTTGTGCGTGTGTTCCTCACTCATCATTACCCCCATTAATTTGTAAAGTCATTTAACGCAAAGCCTAGGTCTTCTTTATATTTGATAATTAATGCTCATCGGATTGAATTGAAAATTAAGTGTTTAAAGGCACAAGAGAGAGAAAAGCCTGGGGACAGGTGTGTCTAGCCAGAGGCCCAGTGAGTGAGACCAGGTGATAGCAAGGCCAAAGGACCAAGAGGCGGATAAGAAGGAGGAGGAGTAACTGGGTGACAGAATCCACATTCAGGGGCTGCTAAATTCCTGGGAAGCTGGAGCTTCAGGAAAAGAAAGAGGGACGAACCGAGCAGGCGCATTCTGCGCTGACACACGCAAGCACATGCATGCATGCACATGCACACACATGCATGCACATGCACACACATACACATATACACATACATACTCATGCATGCAAACACAAGCCTCCAAGCCTGGACTTGGGACCACAGAGCCCACCCCATCCAACGTCCGGGCCAGGAAGGGGAGTCAGGGGAGCCGGAGGACACTGGGCCGAGGCGGCTCGACCTCTACCTGCCCTGCTTGGCCTCCTGCGCCTGGCTGTCCTCAGTGATGACCTGAGCCCGCACGGGCCGGCGCTGCCGCAGCCCTTCCGCCTCATTCATGGCGCTGATACCCCTGTCTCCCGACGCCCAGACTGAAGCGACCGGTTGCGGTTCCCTCCTCAAAGAAGAGCAGTCCGGAGCCCGGCGGCGGCCCCGCCCCGCTGGGACGGCCAGCTCCGCCCCGGCCCCGCCTCTTCACCTGGCCCTCCCTCGTCTCCCGGAGGGTCTGGGCTCCGCCCCGACATACCAACAGCCGTCACTGTTGGTTCGGCCCCTGGCGCGGAAAGATGACATAGAACGGCCGAGGGCCGTCGCGTGCCGACTGGCGCCGGGAGATGACGTCAAGGGCGGGACTACGGCCGCGACGCCGTGGGTGGGTGCAGTGTCTGCCTTCCAGTTCCGTCGTCTTCTTCCCGGTCTCCTCTCAGGGCGAGGACGGAGAGTAGAGGCAGAAGACCCGTAGGCGAGGCTGGCGGAGATGCGGGGCGAGGGGCGGGCCGAGGACCCTCGGCCGCCCCGGGGCTCCCTGCGCCTGAACGTGTCTAATCCGGTCCCGAAGCTGAAAGTGACAGACCAGGCCATCTCGCAGTTAACAGTAGAGTAGAAGGGAAACGAAAGATGATGAAACGTGCTTGGATCGAGCCTCTTGAGGCTCTTCTAGTATCGGGGATCTAGAGTTGGAAGGGATCGTGCAGGAATATAGTCCAGCCTCCTCGTTTTCCCGGGAGGAACTGAGGCCTGGGGAGATCGCTGCTGCCTCAAGTTCATCGTACCGGTAGAGGAAGGGAGTTTAGGCCCACGGAGCTTGTTAACTTGCCCTAAGCCAGTAGAAGGAGCTGGATTTGAACCTAAGCCCTCTGACATCAAATCCAATACGTTTTCTCTTGTAACATTGCTGGTTTGGAGATAAGGCAACGAAGTAGGTTTACTATGAGGAACGTCTTGTCAATCAGCAAGCATTTTAGTAAGCTCTTTCATATGGGGCCAGGCACTTTGCTAAACGCTGAAAATACAAAGAAAGGCAAAAAAAAAAAGGGGGGGTTCCTGCCCTCAAGTAGCTCAGATTCTAATGGAGGAGAAAAAGACTATATATGAGATAGATGCACAGTAGAAGGAGGGTAATCTCCACTGGAAGGCAGGAGCAGTTGGGGGGTGGGGAGGGAGAGGGGAGTGACCCGGAAAGGCCTCCTACAAAAGATGGAATTTGAACTGAGTCTGGAGGGAAGCCAGTAAAGACGCGGACTAGGAGGGTGAATTGTCTGGCTTGAGTGAGTGAAAAAAGGTGGAGTTGCCAGATTGTAGAATATGAGAGGGGAGTAAAGGAAAAAGACTGAAAGCTGGAAAAGACAAGGTTTTTTAAAAAGTCTTTAAATGCCCAGCAAAACACTGCAGTCGACAGGATTGAATGTGAAGGCAGAAGATGTTTTCAAATCCCAGCTCTGTCACCTACTACCTATGTGACTCTGGGCAAGTTCCTTAACTTCTCTGAGCCTCAGTTTTCTCATATGTAGAAGAAAGAAAAAAAAGAGGGAGGGTGAGAATTAGGGTGGGGAGTGAAGGGTTGCATTAGAAGATCTCTGGTCTCTTCTAGCCCCAGATTCTTTATTTTTAGAGTTTTCGTGTCTGTATTTTATAGTTTTGCAAAATGTTTTTTCATCAGCTTGTTCATTTAAATTAATTATCCCCATTTTACAGATGAAGAAACTGAGACTCTAACCCTGACTCCAAATGCACACTTGGGCACTTGAGCTCAAGTTTTGAAATTCCAAGTCCAGTGTTCCTTCTACTATATATGATGTTGCCTCTCCAGATAACAGAAACTGTGTTGGATGTCCAGAAGATTAATTATGCATCATGTTACTAAGCAAAAGGCTAAGCATATAACTACAAATTAAAGCTTTCCTTCCTGAAGTGAGAGAACTTTGTTCACATTCCTCACAACTCTCTGAGTTGAATGGTACAAGTTGTAGCCCCATTTTACAGATGAGAAAACTGAACCTCAGAGAGGCTAAATAACTCATATTTTTAGTCTGTTTTAGATGGATTCGTGATTTTAGGAATAATTGCACTAGATCTGTATCTGTGGACTAGATATGGTTCTAAATGTCGAGTACTTATACTTGGAACCCAAGTTTTCTATAACCAATGTGTTCTCTGCTATACTACACTGTGTCTGAATCTTTATAGCAGAGCTTTCATAAAAGATTTTCAAAATCCTTTAGAAGATAACTGTACAAGTACATACTATTACTGAGAATACTTTGGAGGTAAAATACAAAGAAATGTAATGATGTATGTCAAGTGTTATACTACTAGTCACATACTTTTGTTATTACTGTTTCCTCGAATACTCGTGTCCTTCATGATCCAATTTGGGGTTTTCTTCTTCTCCAGCTCATTTTACAGATGAGGAAGCTGAGGCAAACAGGGTTAAATGACTTGCCCAAGGTCACACAGCTAATGTTTGGGGCCAGATTTGAACACAGGAAGATGAGTCTTTCTGACTCCAGGCCCATCGCTCTATCCACTGTGTTACCTAGCTGCCCTAGCCACATAGTAGACAAACCCTAAGGATTTGTGTGAGTTACATAGAGGCTTAGTGATTTTCACAGTGCCTCACAGCTCTCAATATGAACCCAAGTCTTCTGACTGCAAGCCCAGCACTACCATTTGTTGACCCTGTTATTATTTATTACTACATCAATAGGTTTGGCCATGTAATAAGACAGGACTTAATGGAAAGACTAATATTGGGAAAGATTAAAGGCAAAAGGAGAATGGGACGGCATAGGTGGATAGTGTCATGGAAGCAATGAGTATAAGCTTGGACAGACTTCAGGAGATAGTAGAGAAAAGGACCTGGCATGGGGTCACAAAGAGTTGGACATGACTGATGTGAGGAAAATACAAATAGTAATCTAAACTGAACTAGATCCTAAAAATGAAATAATTGAATCTTTTAGCTTTCCTTGTATAATTACCTTTAAAACTACTAGGTGGTGCTAGTATTCCATATAAACAATGTCAAATGACAGCAACAGAACTGAAGAATTCATTTATCTACTTCGGCAAGGGTAGCCCATATATGATTCAGGCCTATAACTTTATTTCAGTGAATATATGTTTTGTGAAATGTAAGTCAGCCTTGCCAACATATTTGTAAAGAATTTGGTCTGTTCAGTACATCTGATACCCGTGATCCAAGGCAATAATAATAAAAGTAGCATAGGATGCTTTACTTTTAAGTATTCCTTTGGTAGATTGAGTCCCTTAGATTCTAACACAAGTACTTAAATCCTTTGGGGAAAATATAATGAATAAATGGAAAAGTGTTTATCAAGAGTGCACTTACAATGTGCCAAGCTATAATAGTAACTCATTTTTATGCAGTGCTTCATGTTTTATGAAGCACTTTTCTGGAACAGCCTATTGAGGTAGCAGTACAAGTATTATCATCCCCATCTTAGAAATTCCAGTTCAATTCAACAAGCGTTTACTAAGCAACTTACTTTGTGTTAAGCACTGTGCCAGGCCCGGAGCTTACTTTCTACTAGAAGGGAAAGCATATATACAAATAACAAAATACAAAATGCATACAAATTAAATGTGGGGGTGAGTAGTGTAATAACTGGGGGAATCAAGAAGGTCTCTTCTAGGAGATGGCACAGCCCAAGTGAGACTGGAAGGTAGCTAGAGACACCAAGAGGCAGAGGTGAAGGATAGCATCCAGGCATGGAGAGTGGGAATGAGGGGAGGGGAACCCGGCAGTGCAAAGACTCATGTAAGAGATAAAATGTTCTGTACGGGAATAGCAAACAGACCAGTTTGACTGGAAAATAGATTACATGAGAGATTATATTCAATGGAAGATAGATACTATTTTCCAGTGAACATCTCACTAAATTCCAGTGGCTCCTTATCATTTGCAGGATCACATATAAAATATTCTGGCATTTAAAGACCTTTCCAATCTATACTTTACTCCCTTTCTCCCACACTGCTCCAGCGACACTAGCCTCCTTGCTGTTCCTCACATAAGACATTCCATCTCCAGATTCTGAGCATTATTGCTAACTGTCCCCTATGCCTAGAATGCTCTCCTTCCTCATCTTCACTACCTTTCTTCTGCCTACCTTCAAATCCCAACTAAAATCTCACATTCTACAAGAAGCCTGGCAGAGCATGGGGGGAGAAAGGGACAATGGGTGGAGTAATAAATGACTTTGAATGCCAAACACAGGATATTATATTTGATCCTGGAGGTGATAGAGAGATACTGGAGTTTAATTGAGTACTTTACCGAGTGACATGGTCAGACTTAATGCTTTAGAAAGATAACTGACAATTTAGTGGAGGATGGGCTAGAGTAGGGAAAGATTTGTAGCAAAGAAACCAACCAGGAGGCTATTAAAATAGTCTGTCCAGGTGTGAGATGATAATGGCCTGCACCAGGGTGATGGCAGTGTCAGAAGAGAAGGGGCATATGTGAGTGTTGTTTCTAATATGAAATCAACAGGCCTTGGCAAGTTTGAATAGGGAGAGGGGGAACAGTATAAAAGAGAGTGAAACTCAAGGGTAATACCTGGGTCTCGAGCCTTGGTGACTGGAAGGATGGTGGGGTCACGAGCAGTTATAAGGAAGTTTAGAAGAAGGATCGGTTTTGGCGGAAAGACAGTGAGCTCAGTTTTGGACATGTTGAGCTTTAAATGTCTATGGAACATGCAGTTCTAGATGTCCATTAGTGAGTTGGAGATTTGAGACGAGGTCAGCAGAGAGGATAGTACTGGATAAATAAATTTTAGAATCATCCTCATGGAGATGATAATTGAATCCAGGGGAGCTGATCTCATCATTTCATCAGGTGAAATATAAAGAGAGAAGAAAAGAGGACCCAGGACAGAGCCCTATATGATACCTGTGGTTAGTAGGCATGACTTGGATAAAAGTCCAGCAAAGAACACTTAAGAATGAGTGGTCAGATAGGTAAGAGAAGAACCAGGAGAGAGTAAGATCCCAAAAACCTCGAGAGAAGAGAGTATCCAGGTGAAGGGGGTGTTCAGTAATGTCAAAGGCTACAGAGAGGATATGTTAGTAACTTCGGAGAGAAGAGTTTCTGTTGAGAGTTTGAAAATGGAGCCACCTATTGCAGTCAACCTCAAGGAGTTTAGCCACAAAAGGAAAGAGATAAGGGAGACATTGTCTTATTGGTAGGTGGTGCAGAAGCAGCTAATAGAGAAAGTGGAGATGCTAGAAGTAGCTATCTGCTGGAGATGAGATAAAATGGGATCACTTGTGCGTATGAAGAAGTTTGCCTTGGCAAGGAGAAGAGGGGTTGAAGAGGGAGCAAATGGAAGGATGCATCTGAATGATAGCAGATAAAATGGAAGAGAGAGGAGTGATTTCAGCCAAATGGCCTGTTTTGTTTTGTTTTTTTCAGGAAAATGTGAGGCAGGATTCTCATCTGAGGAGGTGGAAGAGGGGACCTCCGGGAGACTTGAGGAAAGATGAAAAGTTTTGGAAGAGCCATTTTGTTGAGTGGGATAGTGAGTTCATTAAGGAAGTAACAAAGGATTGTCAGGAGGCAGTAAGGACCTAGCTGAGGTTATATAATAGGAATTTATAGTGGACCCAGTCTTTTACAACACACTTTTCTCACAACCACCCTATCAGGAGAGTAGAATGAATGTTGTTATTCCCTCATTACACATAAAGAAACAGGTTCAGAGGTTGACTTGTCCATGGTCACATAGTTAATAGACTTTAGCTGGAAATACTCAGAAATCCCAACTTTTAAGTGCAGACTGAAACAACTGAAAACAACATAATGTTTTTTTCACCACACTATGCAGCCTTTTCACAATTAATTATCCTTCCTGGGGAATCTTCATCCCAAACTAGATTAAGCAGTTTGAAGTGCCTTTTACTATTCCAGGTGGTTACTCAATCTGAGTGTACAAAGGAGTAAAATATATCTATTGAGCACTGATAGGAAGTTGAATAGTGAGTAGAGATCTGGCCAGGGAGTCAGGAAGACTTGGGTTCAAGTGATATCTCTAGCATACTGGCTATGACCCCTGAGAAGTCACTTAGGTATTTAATCTCAGTGCCCAATGCAACTCTCCAAAAATTGCAGAATAGGCCAGTTAAGCTTTAGTAGAGGGAGTTTCATTTCCATGAGTTCCCTACAATAAAATCACAATCCAGGCCAAAAACAAAAACACACTGAAAACCAAACCCATTTAATATCATTAGACTTTTCATATGTCTTGATCTTTTTACATAACTTTGTTAGTCCTGGAGGAAAGATAATAGATTTGATGGCTTAAGCCTTAAGAATTGGAAGCTAGGTGTCACAGTGGAATGCTAAGTCTGGAGTCAGGAAGGTTACTCTTTGTGAATTCAAATCTGGCCTCAGACATTTACTAGCTCTTGTGACCCTGGGCAAATCACTTAACCCTGTTTGCCTCAGTTCCTCAATCTGGAAAATGAGCTGGAGAGGAAATGGCAAACCATTCCAGTATCTTTGCCAAGAATACCCTGATGGGATTGGATGTGACTAAAAAACTATTGAACAACAACAACAAAAAGCCTTAAGAATAGCAAATCCACAAATACCAGAGGTCTGCTTTGTTTGTAATACACAAAGTGAAACAGCATTCTAGCCCACTTTTTTGGAGAGCTTTAGTTTCATTCCACTCTTAAACAGAATAAAAATCTCAAGATTGCTCTTTAGGCAGGAAAATCACTTCGTTTATTTTTGTCTTCATTCCTCCCCAGCTCCAAGCCCTCTACCAGACATTTCTAGGAAATCAGTCACACCAAACAGAATGGAACAGCCTAACTTACTCAGGAGGACCGTTGCCATTCCCAAATGGTCCAATAGAACCACAATTCACATGTAATCTATTGACCTTGTGTTTAAAAAAATTAATTTGAAGATAAGCAGAAAGCTTGAAAATCCCTTTTGCCATTTTAAGTTCAAATAGGAAACAAATGTCAAAATATTCAAATAATTTCTGGTCAGAGTTCCCTAGAGTAAATAGATTTTATTCTTAAGGGTAGTGGATATAAGGGCCAAATACTTTTTATGCTGATTACTTAAGTTACCTGTACAGATAGGAAATAGAAAAGGGCAATCTTCAAATAAGTTTCAAATTGAAGTGTTAAGGAGAAAGTTTGAAACAGCCAGGAGAGCTGTGCAGAAAATAAGATCTCAATAAATCATTAGTCAATGGAATGAAATCCTTTGTAATATGAGTATCAAGGTCACATGTCAGAATCCTGCTTTTAGTACTCTGAATCTGAAATTTTAAAACTTTCATACTACCACTTTTTAAATACTTTTATTTCTTAAATGCAAATGCACCATGCTATTGAATCTCCAGGGTTGAATTAAGCAACAATCACAATTCTCCAAGTAATGGGGAGGGTGGTAACTATTAAAGAAATCACACGTCAGAAATAATTGAATTAAATTTAGTGAAATAGAGGGTAATTGTCCCCATAATTAATGACTGCTTTTATAATGAGCGTATTATGTATAATTACAGGCTTCAATTTAAAATTCTTGATTAAGAAGTAATCATCCGTTCGTCACTTTGTTCACATCTTAAGGAGGCTCTCTATGTATCCATGGTATACCTCTCACCCATAATAAATAAAAACTTCCTTAAGTAAAATCAATGGATTCTTGGACTCAGTACATGGAAAGTTGCAGGTGTGAAGCTCTAGGGGTATCAGCCCACAGGGTTTATACTAAGGAATGAAGAAGTAATGATGAAGGCTTAATCAGAGGGATAATATTTTAGAAGTCTCTGAAGCAAAGGAGGAGTTATTCAGGTATCCAAATAGAATTAGTGTCCTTTGAAATTCACTAACTAAACAAGGATATGTCCTAAGTGCACCATCTAAGATAAACATGAACTCGTGAATACTTGATGATTCTTTCCTAGCTGTGTCATCCTGTTGCATAATACAGTGTGGTGCTGTTTTATAAATATTGTGCCTCCTAGTGAACAAATGTATAATTGAGGTGAGACTAAATATAATAAAGTTGATTACTTCATCTTGTTTCTGATACCACATCCTCAAGTTTCCTTGGAAATTATAAAGGAATTTTATGTATTGTCAAAAAAAAATCAGGCCCACCCAGTCATGAACTATATATTTGTTGTCCAAGGACCAGCCTCACTAAATTTAGAGGTTTATCACCAGGTTAAATAGAAGAAGTTTTTGGTCATAGAAGCTTTTAAAAATCACCTGCAAAGCTATAGAGGGGTTGCAATCTGTTGGTGGAGGAGTACTCATTAATAAAATAACAAGTTCTTGAAGTATTTTAACTTCCTTGAAGTATTAAAATAATGTAAAAAAGATGCATTGCCAAATATACAAAAGGAATATTTGAATCTTGAAATTCTTTGTGCTCAACATACTCAGTTAAAAGTGCTAAGAAGCTCTCAAGCCAACGCTGTTTACTAAGTAATTCCGTAGTAACCAGCAGAGCATTAGAAAGTCGCCAGCTAAAATAATTTACAAATAAATACAAAATCATAGGCAAATAAATCTTAGAATTGGAAGGAAGCCTGAAGGTCACCAACTCTACCCTTTCCCATTCAAGAATTCCCTTTGCAATATATGAGCCATAAGATCCTATACTTGAATACTTTTAGATCCATAGAGCTCACTACCAAATGAGATAACCCATACTTTCTCCTGTAATTTCTGCATATTGATTCTAGTTTAACTCTGGAACCATACAGAATGAATAATCCCTTTTAGACATGAAAGTCCTTAGAAAACAGGTTTTATGTTCCCCAAGTTTCACCCATTTCTCATATGGCATGGGTTCGTAGCCTTCCCTACATCTTCATGACTTCATATTTTGCCATTATCCCTTTTAAAGTGTGGAGCCCGTCATGGAACATAGTTTTGCAAATGTGTTCTGACCAACCTAGAATACAACAGTAGACATTAACAGGTATACAATATCTGAAATGAGTGAAACAGTATGTCTTAATGACAAAGTGTAGGGTTTTTTTTACTCCCATGTTACAATATTAATCCACATTGTTAGAACTCAACTAAAACTCCTTGTCTTTTTCATATAAGCTGCTGTTAAGTCAGACTTGTCTCCATTCTATGTTCCATTCCATACACAGTTGAATTTTTTAACCAAAGGGCATTTGTATACTTATCATCTTTAATCTTATTAGATTTAGTCTGTGGTTCCAATAAGTCAATATCTTTTTGGATCTTGATTCAAAAATTCCAAATCAACAAATACTTAACTTTGGGATGTTTTTTGTAGGGAAGTAGCTGTTATCAAAATGAAATTGTGTCAAAAAATAAATAAAAAAATTTAAAAAACCAAATATTTAAGCAACCATTAATAATAGGTACTTAAATACCCTGTACTGGGTACTGGGGGTGCAAAGACCAAAAAAAATAGTCCTTTCCCTAAAAGAGTTTACATTCTACTGGAGAAATACAACATGTGCATAAGTCATATATACAGAGTACATTCAAAGGTAATTTCAAAAGGGAGAGGGCACTGAGGGGAATCAGGAAAGGCCTTGTGTAAGAGAAGGTACCTAAGATGTGCTTTGGAGGAAATTTAGGGATTCTATAAGGTAAGGTGAGAAGGAAATCCTTTCCAGGTATCAGAAAACAACACCTGTACTAAGGAAGATAGGAGATGGAGTATCATTAATAAGGATCAGCTAGCAGGTAAATGTTACTGAAATGGAGATTGCATGAAAAGGGATCATCTGAAATAAAACCAGAAAGGCAGGCCCAGGTCATAGTGTGGAGTGCTTTAAATGCCAGCTTAAGAGATCTAAGCAACAGGGAGTCACTGAACATTTTTGAATAGGAGAGTGAAGTGGTTGATGAGCGGGGTTGTTTGGGGTTTTTTTGGGGAATATTAATTTTACAGCTGTCAAAAGTCATTGAGCATTTATTAAGTGTTGCTTACTATATGTATCAGGTAGTATGGGGGGAACAGATTGGAGAGAAGAGAATGGAAGGAGCAGGGAACAAATTAGAAGGCTATTTAAGTAGTTCTGGGAAAGGTAATGAGATGTAAGAGATGTTGTGAGGGTAGAATATATCAGTTGACAACTCATATATGGGATGAGGAAATAGTCAAGGATGATGTCAAGTTTTTAAACACAAGTGACTGGAGGCATGGTGGTGCCTTCAGTGGAAATGGGCATCCTAGGAGGAGAAATATTGATTCTGATTTGGATGTGTTGAATTTGAGATGATATTGTGTGACATTTATATAGTACTTTAACGTTTACAAAACAACATATACATATTCATTTGATTTTCTCAACAACAATGAGAAGTAGGCCTTACAAGGAAGATTATACCCGTTTTATAGGCAAGAAGATAAGTGACTTGCGTTTGGTTACACAGCTAATAAGTGTCTGAGAAGAGATTTGAACTCATATCTTCCCAAATCTAAGTGCCACAAACTAACCATTATACCGTACTTACCTGTCAAAGATGCTACAAGTCATAAAGGTAAGCTATCTAGCAAGTAGCTGATAAAGTAGAATTAAAGTTCAGGAAAGAGATTAAAGCTATATATAGAGAAATGGGAGTTATCTTTATAGAAATAATCATTGAACCAATGGTAAAATCCCTAAGGAAGAAGAGTATAAAAAGAGGACATGTTAAATATCTTTTCCAGCATTGTGTCATCTGTAAATTTGTTAGGCATGCCACTGTGTTTTCATCCAAAATAAAAATATTGAAATAGTGAATGACTCATGAGACAAAAAGCTTTTCATCTTGAGTTTCAAGGTTTTAGCTCTCAGGATTCTTTTGAGTAATATAGGCTATTGCTAATACTCAAACACTTTTTATTACATTTTCTGTACAGTGAAAAATAAGAAATCTGTGTGTCTACCTACAATATTTTCTAGAAATAATTTCAAGTCCAACTAGTATTCCTAGAACAGGAAATTATAGGGTTAATTACTTGGCTTATTCCTCGTGCCTCTCCAGGCCTGTGATGTAGGAAGATTTCCCTCTGCCATTCAAGATTTAGCTGCTGCTTGGCACAATAAAATCGCCACCTATGAAGAATTACACCCCAACCGTGAAGCAGAGAGCTGACCTCGCCTGTCTTCTACCAAAGGTACTCCTTTACTTGAAAAGCTTTAAGCCTCTTCCCCCCAGGATTTAAGGGTCATTGACACAGATGCTGTGCCAACTTCTCTCTGAGTTTTCCAGTGCCCCCACACCATTTCTTTCTATTTCAGATTGATACTTTTTAAGGTTAAAAAATTTTAATATGCAAGTAAGCAAAATTAACAGGGCACAACTAAAATGTGTAATGTGATCATCCTGTAATATTTTACTTTATAGGTTTGCTAAAACTAATCCATATATTTCTCCCTTTTTTTCTGTTTCCCACTCTTTTTAAAAACTCACCGGCTTTCATTTCCATCTCCTCTCTATATCATCTTATTCTGTCTTGTCTTTTTTCTCTCCTGAAAGTTATAGTTGAAACTCTTATTGGCTCAAACTTGGTGCCACAGGTAAATAAACATTTATTAAGCATGTGCTTGGCACTGTACCCTGAAATACAGTGATTAGAAGAAAAAAACCCAACCATCCCTGCTAACCTGAAAACACTTATGATCTAATAAACAGACTACACGCAAATGAGTGTGATGCAAAATGCAGTGTAATAGGGCAAAGAAAACTTCTCTAAGAAAATGTGAGGGATTGATAACTTTAAGCTGGGGCAATCATGGGAAAATAGGATGCTAGCTCTAGAGCTGAAGGTTATATGACCCAACCTTTTTATTTTGCAGATAAGCAAACAGACACAGAGAAGTGACTTCCCATAGACCACATTGGTAGTGAGCATGCACGTAAGTCAAGAAGTAAATCACTGGTGAAAGCTTCATGGAAATGACATCTGAGGTGGGTCACAAAGGCAACAAATCAGTGCAAAGAAATGCACAGAGGAAGGAGATCACAGAAAGAGTGGAGAGATCACAGAAAGAGTGGAGAGATCACAGAAAGAGTTGAGGGAACACAGCTAGCAGCCTGGTTTGTCTGGAGCACAGAATGGAAGAAATGGAACAGTACGGGATAAAGCAGTAATTGTGAGTTGGAAGCAGGTTGTGGATAGCTGTAAATGCCAGCTTAAGGAGGTAAGGTACTATTGCTTGCCAAGACGAGATTTCAGAGGGTTCCCTTCAGCCTTCCTGGTCCACTAAGAAACCAACTCAGAGCAGCACCTGATTTAACTAATATTCTTTGAAAGCATTCCCTGACATTTTATCAACCTTTAGAGTTTCATGATATGTCTGGTACTATGCTTGGCCTTTGTGCCCGAAGAGGATGACATCTATGTCAAGGTACAGCATGTCCAACTGTGCCTGATGAGACCAACACAAGCTCAGAAGGCTCTACCATAGGTCCATATGAACGTTTGGAATGGAGATGTCTCTAAATTCACATGTCTCATATCTCTTTTGACCTCCTACAGTTCTGCTTTGCTGGTAGAGCACAACAGCCTCTTTAATGCTGAGCCTGCCTCTGACAGTGTCTCCCATGTCTCACAATCAGTTCCATTGTTCTTCAGAGAGACCTTGAGAATGTCCTTGTTATCACTTCTGGTAGTGTTTACTACTGTTGTACTTTTAAAATTCTTTTCTCTGCTTTTTATAGTTTCTCTCTTGCTGACAGCTATTACTTTTCTCTACTGTCAGTGTACCTGTAACTGTCTCCTCAAACCTCCTAATTTGTTGTTTTTTCTCCATCAGTTTGGAAAATAGATCACAGGATCAAAAATTTAGAGCTAGAGATGACCTTGAAGGTCATCTAACCCAACTTTTTTTTTTTCCCAGATGGGAAAGCTGAGGTCCAAAGAGTTTAAATGGCTTGCCCAAATTCATAGATGCAAGAAGGAGTAGGATTTGAACCCGGAATCTGACTCCAAGTGCAGCATGCTTTCCACTATGCCACACAAACCATTTTAAATTGTGAACAAAGGAAGAGTAAAAGGCTCTGAGTGAGGGCTTCTTGTATGAGTAAATGAACTTCATTACACAAATATAGTGAGATTCATTTTGTTGACTCGCAGCCCATTGTTTTCGCTCCACTTTAATGACCATTTATTATTTCTGGTTCTCAGTTGTGTTCCAGATAGATGAGGTTGCCAGAAAAATGTAGACTGCCTGTACATCTCTCCCCTATATGATAGCAATTTTGAAAAGATTTCCTTTCTTTTATTCTTAGTGAATTATGTCTATACTTCGATTTGTCCTTCGTATCACATTGAGCAGAACAGAATGACTTTCTTTTATCAGTGTCATTATCACAGTAAACTGGGAACAAAATAGTGTTTTATTTTAATTCATTTGCAGGTAAATTCTTCTAAGTCCATGGACCCTACAGATCTCATTTTGAAGTCTATATCATAGGGGTCAGGGGTCAGAAGCTATTTACAGGAAGCATGGGGAACCAAGCAAGATAATAAATAGAGCCTTGGCTAATATATAAAAGAAATTAAAATATTAAGTATATTGCTCTCTAAGTGATTGTGTTTTAAGTGCCATAATAATGTGACATAGCTAATATTTAATGTCTATATTAGCTGGCTAATGTCAGCTACATTAATAACATTCCAAAAGTTCACTATTAAGTCAACAATTGTTTAGCCCACTAATGTCAATACCAGCTGTTTGGTTAACATTAAAACACTTTTATAAAACAGACCTCTGTTGGGATTTTTTTTGTTTTGTTTTTAATTTCTGATCAGAGCTTTTGAACTGCCCCTGTTTTCCATACCTCCCCCTGAACAGTGATGTCGAGCCAAAAACATTTTTCAAAAACACAACAGCTTCTTCCAAGAACTTTAGTGCTTATTGTAATAGGTCATTTGAATTTTCGTTAGTTACTTTTGGCAGTGCCACAGTTTAGAGCATTGATGACCTATAGCCAAGAAGCATTCTGAGGAAAAGAAAAATTCATCCAGAACAATGCCCAAAAAATAAAATAAAAAGACTGGCCAGAACTTAAGGGCTAACAAATTTATATCCAGGCTTTTAGGAAATTAATTTTGTTCAGTGTGTATAGTGAGACATAGTCCTGATAGGCAAAATGAAATCATTCTATATGTTTGAAAGGCACAATACATAATTAATTTGATTGTATTGATTAATCAATCTATTTTCAAAAACTCTCTCTAAAATTCTTCAGAGGTTAGGAGTAAGTGTGCCCATTCTATTCATACTCTGCAAGAGCTGAAATGAATTTTTTTTATAACTAGCTATCTACTCTATAATGATGTTACAAAGACTGTATACAAATAAATCCATACATTAAACTTCTCTGTTTGTATGCTGTTCTCAAATAAGAAAGTACAAAAATAAAGACTCTACAGCTATTATACCTAGGACCACCTGGGAAAAAATATTATTGCTTCTAATTTTGAATCTTCTGAGAAGGCACGTTTTAACATTTCTCCTGTTGTGTCTCAAGGGACTACTGATATTTGAGGATGATAAATAAGTTCCTTTCACCATCAGCCCACTCCCCTAAAACTCAAACTAGGTTACATTTTCATGAAAATGGGTATATCTTAACTTTGGTCTTGCCTCTTGTTCATTGCATTTCTAGTTCCTCTTCCAGGAAAACAAAAGGGGGGAAAACACTACAACTGGCCTTATGTATGATCACTAGATTCTGTGATGATTAGAGAGAATTCTTTCCTGATTTGGAAATAACCAATTTCAGGAATATGTCCTGAGAAAAGACAATAAGGAACTGTTGTATTTGGTTTTGGCCAAACACGTTTTTTGGAACTTCGAGGCTGATGCACAGCTCTTCTCTATTAAGAGGCAGATAGCTTGGCTTTGTGTTTCTGATAGGCTTTCTGAATTTCAGAAATCACTGAAGGATCCTCCAGAGTGGTAATATCTCCCAGATCCTGAGTACTGTCAGTGACTATTTTCCTTAAGAGCCGCCTCATGACTTTTCCAGATCGAGTTTTTGGAAGACGTTTTACCACCTAATAAGAAAAAAAAGGGGGGGGGGACCATTATTAGAATTTGGAAATGATGCCCTGACCATTAATTAGAAGCTGAGAATGGATATATACCGAGGTCTGATTGAGTGATAAAACAAAAAGGTATTTGCTCTGGGTCACCCTACCACCTCAGATGAAAAAGCAATTTTTACAATAGGTTGATTTTTGTAATTCATCCAATAGAGAGATTCCTGAAGTAGTAGTTCGCTCACCTTATAGGATAATACTTTCTAGTCAGAGTTCTTCCAGGTTTCTGTATCAGCCTACAGTTTAAAACTAATCTTGGCTAGTAGAAAGTGAGCCCATTATTAAAAACAACTCAGAGATAAGAACTACCAAATCTTTGGAGGCAACTTAAGGACAATGTATTATTCCATGAAGCACTTCCTTAACTGGGCAGCACAAATTTCATTCAGATGATTTTTCCCCACACTCACATTCATAATCGACTATTATTTATAAATATTTCTTTTTTCCTTTAATTTCCCTTGCTGATATGGAAATAGTTGTCCACACCATATAAGCTCCATTCATGGTAAATAAAAACATCATGTTTAAATATGCTTCTCTTGGCATCCTACCTTCTTTCCCTAACATTCTCTTTATCTTATGTGTAAAGAGGTCACTTGGAATAATGGATATAACTAGACACCAATGCTTCCACTTAACTTTTTTATAAAGCAACATGGTGTTAACAGGGTAAGAGTGGTACTCAAGGCCAACAGATATTATATAACTCAAGAGGGTAAGCTTAACAGGGCTCTCCTATACCTTCTACATTCTTCCCTAATTAAAATTTTTCAACCTTTGCAAATTAAATCAGGGTGCCTGAGGCTCGCCAATCTGCATTCCCCAAATCTAAATATATCTCAAAAGACTTAAGGCTTCATGGTTCCAGGCAGGTCCAGCAGCAGAATTGTCTTTACAGAGTGCCTTACCCAGAATCTCTGATCTCATTGTGATGGGAAGCTTCCAATGGGAATCAGCAAGTCTTCCAAAATTTATGTTCTTAGAAAGTTGCCTGGGACACTGAGGACTTGAATGACTCGCCCACATGTCGTAGACAGTATGAGTCAGAAGTGGGATGCTTACTCAGTACCTTACATCTCCCCTTTCCCCCTTCCCAAAGTCTTGGGCAATATGTCAAGTATTTGCAATGTTGCCCTCTTCACATTCCCTAGAGATTCCCCAATTCAACATGCCTTTGTGTGGACCCAAATCTTCCATAACTGAATGTCCTTGGTGGTCCAACATAGGACAGTTATAATGTCCCTCAAGTCTTACATCTGCTTTAATACTTAGAAAATTCTAAAAAGCTGCTGTTCTGAACACCCAATGAAAATAAAAGAAGCTCCCATCCCCCAAAAGTAAGCCATCTTGTACAGAGCAGCTGCTGACCTATATGAGTAAAAGGGAATTTCCTCACCAGGACTTCCTATACCAATGAAATCAGAATCAAATCAAATCAAAATGCTGCCCTGTAACTGTGAGAACCTAGATAATGAATACTCTGATAAGAAGCACCTCTCGTATTAACATCAATGGAGAGCCATGGTGATCCTAAATGGCTGCATTATATTACCAATGATAACTTACTTACAAGTGGCATAAAACATCCATCGAAAGATACAATATTGAAAAAGAGAGGTGGGCCTGTCATAATGAGAGCAAAGTATAACAAATGGACATATCAAGTATTGTACTGGTACCTAAAGAATGTTTAAAAGCCTAGGAGGAGAGCCTCTGGAGGGCTTGTGGAAACAAGGATAAGAGAAACATAGGATGAAAAAATGAATATGGGTTGCAGCCTGTACCATTGGAGGAAGTGCCCATATCATTGAGATCATGAAGCCACTGGA